CGAACACACATCCGAGGAGCTGTTAGTTCATCTCCCTGCACGGCTGACAGCCTTGGGCACATGTATGTTGTCTACACACACAGAACCTGCGTTAGAGTCAGCCCACCCCTCTGAGCGTTGTGGTCAGGAGAGCTCTCAGGGTCCCTTAGCCTGACAGGCTCCACCGAACTGCACCCTCAGCCCTCCTCCCTGTCTGCCAAAGGGGCTCGGACCCTGGACATGGTCCCCCAGGCCCAGTCTGTGCCCTCGAATCTGTGGGCAGCCCCATCAGAAAAAACAACCGCCTGAACCAACAGCAGCCGGTTCCCCAGGAACAGGGTGGGGATGTTTGTCAGCTCCCCCATGCTGCGGATGGCCTTCCCGTATTGTTGGGGGGGGGCAGGGTGTGGGGAGGGTGTGATACTGGTTTCCAGTTCAAGATCCTAATCAGAGCCCCAAGAAGAGCAGCTGGTCATCGCTTTCATCTTCTGATGGCTGGGGGAGAGGAAGGGGAAGGACCAACAATTCCAAAACACTGCTGAAGTCTCTACCCTGTGGTGTGGGGACCATAAGTACCAGGGGCCCGAGACAAATGAGCAAATTATGGTACACACGTATGAAAGAAGGTCAGTCTACGGAGTGGTATGAGAAATGCCTGAGATAGTATTAAGCAGAAAAGCAAAACTGCAAAATTATATGCAGGGTACAATCCCAATTGTGTACAGACAAATCTGACTTAAAAAAACAAACAACCTGAAGGAAATGTTAGTAGTATTTGCTTCTGGAGTAGAGTGGAGAATTTTGTCTACTTCAAGTTTTTCTGTTCTTTTATGAGCTTTTGCAAATCAGGGAAAAAATGATGCTAATTAAAATTTAGGAGGAAAAAGGAGAGATGGATGGGGGGACACGGGTCCCTTCCCATAATCCAAGGGACAAAGTGCAGTATGTGTTTGTGGGTGGGCAGAGGAAGACTGCGCTCGGTCGTTTCTGGTGTAGCTGTGGGACCCCGGGGGTGGGGGGTGGAACAAGCTCCGGAGATGAGGCTTGATAGCCTCCTCAGGTAGCCCTCACCCGGGAGAGACAGCGCCTAGGTACCAGGACAGAGCCACGGGGTAGGTGAGGCCGCACCCCTGAACGAGTCCCTGGGCACAGGTGAAGCTGAGAGCAGGGGGACTGGGTGGATGGCGGCCTCAGAGGAAAGACTTTCTGGAAACCTCAAAAGCAAAGAGGGGCGTGGAGGAAGAGTGCTCCGAGGGGAAGGGGGATCTTTTCTGAGAACAGAGTGGGGTGCAGGCTCCTGAGAAGGGGCAGCCTGCCCGGGTGTGCAAGAAGCCAGCTGAGGAGCGACCCTATCTAAAGAGAATGTGTGCCAGGAGCCCGCAGTGCAGCGGGGGCAGGGCGTGGGGGCCCTGTGCCCACAGGAAGGAGGGTGCACGGGGTCGGGTGAGCTCAGCGCCGCTGGGAAGGAAGAGCAGCCAGATACAAAAGAAAGGACCCTGGAGCCTGGGCATGCAAGAAGGTGGCTGCATTTCAAATTTTGTCTTTTAAAGAAAAGTCTGAGAGAGAGGTGCCCAGAGGCATTTGGGTGTTAATTTTTGGCTCCATTCAGGGGCTAGGGGTTCGGGATGTCTGGCGCCTCCAGGGAGAGAATGCTGGTCTGAAGCCACCAGGCCCCTAAAGGTTAAACCCACCCGTTCTGTGTGGGTCTCAGTTTCCCCCAGAGAGGCAGGGTTGGAGGAAAAACCCTTCTATTATCCTCAGGTCTCAAGGGCTCTGCTAATAAAAATGATTGTAAAACGCTCTGCAAATAGCACCACCGGCTCACAAGGGAGGCGATTCTTTCCCACAGAGGGGGTTCAGTTCCTGCAGAATCTGTTTGGAGCCTCTCTGCCCTCCAAAGAAGGGGCCCTTCTGTTTCCCTGTGATCTCGCTGAATGCTGCCTCCCTGGGATCACAGTGGGCCGGGCCCTGTGCCCGCTGCTGGCAGCAGCCGGCACAGAGCACAAGGGAAACTTTGTGCACCTCCCAGGCCTGGTGTGTGAGCTGCCAGGCACGGGGCAGCTTCTCCTGTGACTACAGAGGAAACTGAGGCACAGGGAGAGAGAGTGACAACAAGCCAGCAAAAACCAGGACCTGTATCACCTCCTTACTGCCAAAAGTGGCACTGAAAGCTGGAACTTGTACGTGGGCTGGGAGCACAGCTCAGTAACACCCCTGCCTAGCACGTGTGAGGCCCTGGGTTCCATCCCCAGTACTGCAAAGAAAAAATAAAAGTGTCAGGCTTATGTAGAAACGATGCTAGTAATAACCAAGTATTTACCTTGCACTTATATGTGATGGTCACTTTACATATACACTATTTTAAAAAACCTATAGTCCCACTAATAACCCTTCACAGTAGGGACCATTAGTTTCCCCTGAGGTGGGCAGAATGATGAGCCCAAGGATGCCCAGGCCCCAGGGAAGCTGCGGGTTTTACCAAAAACGGCCAAAGGGATGTGATGGAGGCCACAGCGCTTGTGAGGGGCTGGCATTTTGGATTAGTCAGGTGGACCCAATCTAACCCACGAGTGCTGAAAAGTGAGCGGCCATCAGCTGTGTAGCCTGAGAGGACTTGCGCGGGCCTCACCGGTCTGGAGGAGGAGCACCGACCACGACTCCAGCATTCGGCGCCCTCCAGGAGCGGAAGGGTTGAGAAAGATTCTCTCTGCGGCCTCGGGAAGGACACGCCCCGCAGACACCTTGCTTTTGGCCTGGAGACCCTGCTGGCTTCCGGCACCTGTCACAGTGTGGTCATTTCTTTCGGAGGCACAGGACAGGTCCCCGTCCCCTCTCGGGGCCGCCCCCCTAGCGGAGGGCGCAGAGTGCACTGTCCCCCCAGCAGGATCGGACCCCCCTCGGGGCACAGCCCACCGTGCAGCCAGGACATGGGGCGTAGAGGTCCAGGGTCCCCACCAAGCTTGTTTGCAGCATGTCCCGCCCTGAGCGGACGCAGCATTCTCGGTCCAGCAGCTCTTTCCCCCCTCACCCTCCCCAGAGACGGCGGAAACAGAATCAAGGAGGAAACCGAGGCTCGGAGACGGATGTCAGAGTCTCCGCTTGCGACTCCCGGTTTTGGGCTCTTCCTTACTTCTGGTGTGGAGGGCCTGGGCTGTGCCTGGCTGTGCCGTGGCACTCGAAGGGGAGATCTGGGGAACCACCACCCCACCAGGCCGCATCTGGGGGTTAGGAGACTCATACGTCTGCCTCTGACCCAATTCCGATGACTTCTTCCAGCCTGGCCCTCACCAGAGAAAATCCACTGGGCGATGGCAAAGGCGGGGGGAGTGTGCGCCCCCTGCCGACCAGGCTGGGTCACTGTTCCGAGGTGCTCCGGCGGCGGGGCTGCCTGCGAGGCTTCGGGCTCTCTGCATGCCCCATTGCTCAGCGAGCCTCTCCTAGTCGGTCTGTCGCTTCCCCCACGTGTCCTCTCCTGGGGCTTCACAGCAAGGCCAGGACAGCTCAGGCGGAGCCCAGGCCAGCTCTGATCCTCACAGCCACCCACCCTGAGGACGTTCCCATACATGGCGCCGCCCATCTGCCCCACACTGTGCTGTTCTCATCCCCACTTTTCTCCGATGCGCTGGGGATTGAACTCAGGCCCACTTGTCCGAGCTACATTCCCAACCCTGTATAATTTTTTGTGCCATAGCAGTGCGTCCTGCCCACAGTCCTGAGCGTGGCAGGGACTGGTAGAAGACAGGGCCCTCAGTCTGAAGGGAAGGGCACAGACCCTGCCTGACCTCATGCAGGCCCAAGATGAGTGGGGAAAGAGAGCCCTGCTCCCCCGAGTAAAGGGACTCCCCAGAGGGACCCTACAGACCAAAGAGGGGGCATCTTAGCCTCCAAGGAGCTTCCAACATCCGGGGTTAAAGGACTCAGAAAGCCTGGAAAAAGAGGGCGGAAAGTGAGACAAACTAATCTTTACTAAGTGCCTACCTGGGGCACAGGTTCAGGATTCTTTCTTTAATCCTCAAAACCACCTCAGTTACAGGCCAAGAAACCAAAGCACCTTGCTTGGTCACAGCCAGTAGTTAACACGCCCCGGGATTCAAACAGCTCCGAGCGGCACCCCTTCCGGCCTTCCTACTGCACTGTATGAAGGCTCTGGCCTCCTTTCCCACATCACCTTTTCCCACCCACAAGCCGCCATTCTTGCGATATTAAACACGACCACATTTAGGACAACCTTCTTGACTGTCCCAGCTGTGAGAGGGGCTGCCTACCGTCCTGGAAAGGCCAAGAGAGCATCGCAAGAGAGCGCCCTTCCTCACTCACAGGGGCCCCACCACCAGGGAGGCAATGCGCTGTCAGGCCTGGGGCTTTTGGGGGTCTCAGAAGGGAGGCTCGGACTGCGGAGGCCCTGCCCAGGCCAGCTCCGGTGAGCACAGCACTCAGGACCTCTGGAAATAACAACAGGGCGCACAAGAGGGACGCCTGTGGTGGTGGAGAATGCACAGGAACGCTGAAAATGTTCCCCCAGCCCACGGTCTGCTTTGTGGCACCCGGGCTGGAACAGCAGCCTGGCCTTCCTATCACGGTGCCGAGCCCTGTGAGGCCTGGGCTGTGGCACAGATCCCCAGATCCCCAGATCCCCAAGCGCTCTGTGGCTGCCTCACCCCTCTGTAGAAATGGGCTCCGCGGAAATGCTACCCTGCAGTGACAGAACCAGACTTGCAGAGATATCCGTTTCTTCTGCGGGAACAGTGGTTTGGACCTTGAGGAGCAGGAGGCTGGGTCTGGGGAGATCCTCGCCTCTCCAGTATATTACGGGACAGGCTGCCACGCTGACCCAGCACCTCTTCTGCTTCGCTCTGGTCCCAAGGCACCGGCCCAGGATGGCCACGGCTAGGCCAGCAGTGGGCACATTGTCCTGGCCCAACCGGGGCCTTGTACTGAGAGGAGAGGGAAGGACGGCCCTGCCTGAGGCCCCTTAACCCAAAGGGGACAAGAAGAGAAAGCCAGGATGGAAGATCACTGACCTTTGGCTCTTGTCAACCAACAGTGTCCTAGCCTGCTCCATATCCGGTCAACCAAGCTGTCTTTACATTCTGAAAATGAAGCCTAGTCAGAGAAAGCAAGAGCCTGGGTTTGTAGTAGGTGAGGAGGTGGAACCAAAATCAAGAGGAAGAGGCGTGTGGGTACCACCCAGCAGGCTGCAGATAAACCAAACAGGGTGACGAAACAGCTCTGCCCCCAGACACTGAGCCTGTGCAGTTCCCCCACCCTGCCTGCTCTGCCCCAGCCCAAGCCCCCACCCTCAGTCCTTCTCTTCTGAAGAGAAACCCACATATCTGGCCCGCATCCCCAGCCCCAGTGACACAGCTCTGCCAGCTGCTGGCTGGAGAGAGGAGGGCGTGGGGCTCCGGCTGGGTTCTGCTGGACAATTATGCCCTCTTGTGGTGATAATGGGAAGATGCAAGAACTCAGACAAAGGGCGAAGCGGGTTCCTTCCTCCCTTTCCCAGAATCCCCACTCTGCCTCTATTATGCACTTACTGGCAAATGGCACTAGGCCCTGCCCAAGAGGAAATGGAGACATTGCACCATTTTTGTGGGCTTCTAAATGAAACCCACCCAGGAGAGAGGCAGCCGGCCCTTCCCCACTGGAGGCTCCAGGTTTCCTTCCGCTCTCCAGCAGTCTGTCCTTGAGGAGTGAACCTGCTCCCCTCTGCACCCCCAGAGCTTGATTCTCACCTCCTCCAGCCCTCCTCCCTGCTCTCCTGGTCTAAGCAGCAACCCCACCTAAGACTCTAAGCCTCGCACCCCACACCAAAGGCTAAAAGCCACAGCTGTCGGAGAAGTCACTGTTCTTGGGCTGCTGCGTGCCCGGTGTCGGGTCTTCCGAGGATGTACTTCCCTCCCCAGGGCAGGAATCAATAATTTCTTGCTTTGCCCTGTATAACCAATCTCAGTGGCCTCTTGGCAGGTCTATAAGGACCACAATAAACCCCTGTACAGAGAAGAAACCGGGCTCCGGCTGGTCACCCAGCTCCCAGGCCCGCACTGCGCTGCGGACACCATCTGCATTACGCCACTCAGCCAGGCAGCTAAAAGGCTGGGCTAGAGGGACCCCTCCTTTACTGAGGAAGGCATAGGCGCCGAGGGACAAGGAACACGGACTCAGTCACACAGCTAGAGAGGGGCAGGAGCACAGGCACTCAGCTCTCCCACCCTCATTCTCCCCCCGCCCCCACACACTGCATTTTTGCAAGGCCAGGCCTCCTCCTTCCTCCTGTCCAGGCGCCTGCCTCAGACACTGCTCACCACACAGATAGCTCCTTTCCTGTGGCTCCCATAGAGTCCTTTTGCCTTCTACAAAAAGCCCACAGAGAGCAGCCTTCCCGACTCGCTCCATCTCGTCCACTCCCATCGGAGCAAAGCACCCACCGAACACCTCTCAGAAAGCTCACAGTGAAGGCCCTGCATCCCAGCCAGTGGTTAATGTGCTTTCCAGTCCAAGTGCACTGGGCATGCGGGTCCTCAGTTACCCCACCGGAGAACTGAGAAGCCAGACGGACGAAGGTCCCCAGCGATGGACCATCACGGGGGGTGGGGGGCCGCAGTGCACGAGCTAGGCGTGGCTGGCTGGTTTCTGTTCTTAGTTCTGCGGTGACCCGGGGAACCTGTGGGCCCCAGGGCAGCTCTGTAAGTGGTCTCTGCACAGAGGGTAAGCATCCTGAAACCGGGCCCTAACAGTCTGTCCACTGGGACACTGTCCCTGGGATGCATCGGACCGCTCTCCTGTGGGCCAGGCTCAGGCACAAGATGTCAGCCTTGATCTTTCTTCCACAATCATTGTGTGCTTTTACAAAGGGGGGAAGAGGAGGCTGAAATTCACCCAGCCACCCCCACCCCAGGCCCTGAGATCCTGCCTTGGGTACTAATCACAAACCACCCTGCTTGGATATGAGGGTTGAAATGTGGTGTTTCAACATCACTGTCAGCAGCGTGGGAATGCGAAGAAATCTCATTCTGGCACCAAAGCAGACGCCTCTGGGATTTCCTATCAGAGGCAGCAGCCTGTTTTCAGTGTGGCCCCCTCTAGCCGCTAAGGGGTGGGGCTGTTGTGGTCTGGCAGGGTCAGCAAGGGCTGGGGAACCAGGGGCCAGGACTGCAGGGTCCCTGGCTGACTCTCAGTATCCTGTGCACTAGGGACCCACACGCTGGTCTGAGCTCTTGACCCAGACATTTGCCACTGCAGAAGGCTCAGCAGGATCAAGCCTCTAACTCTTCAGGGAAGATGAGGGATTTCCTCCTGTTCCTCAGTAAGCAAGCACTCCTGTTTTCAACATAGGACAGGAAGAGGGGAGTTCTCTGCAGGGGGCCCCGGGTCTGGGGGAGGACAGGAACTGCCCCTTTGTCCTCGGCTGCCCACCCAGGACGGACAAAAGAGGGGATCGAGAGAAAGGAAATTAGGTTTGTACCTAGATGTCCTCCTAAAGCCTCAGGTGCTCACAGATGGGGCTTTTGGCAGGTGACTGGAGCATGGAGGTGCGATACTTCTCAGTGATCAGTCCACTGATGAGTTGGTAGCTAACTGCGATATTGGGGTGACGCCTGGGGGAGGAGTTGGGTCACCGGGGGTGTGGCCTGGACGGGGCTCTCTCCCTCCCTTCCCCTACCAAGAGCTCTTTCTCTTCTGCCATGTCGCCCTGCCTTGGAGTCAACCAGTATGGACTAAAACCTCTATAAATTGAGCCAAAATAAACTTTTCCTCCTTAGCCTTGTGGATGTTGCGTATTGTGTCTTAGCACGAAGCCCCCAACTCCCCACCCCCTGCCTAACTGAAATCCTGTAAGCTCGGGTGGGGAACTCACCTCCTAGGAACTTTCCTAGCCCCCACTAAGTGGTGACAGCCCCTCTATTTTCCTCCCACCGCCCTGGTGTGCCCTACTGCACTGATGACAACTGGGGTGTCTCTGGTGGCTTGTCAGAGGGTCGTTTATACAAAGAGCCTCATGCTGCTTGTCCTCGGCACCGGGCACAGTGCTAGGCACAGCAAGCGTTCAGAGAATGAATGAAGGAATGTGGCACTTGCAACCATCTCTTTTGGACCTGAGCTCCCAAACCCTTCATGGGCCTTGGTTCCTGGCTGTTCTCGAACGGGAGACCCCAGGCAGAACCATACACCACCCCCGAAGCTACCCGTAACCCCACATAGGCCTCCTCCACAGCTGCCTCCAGGGTGCCTTCCCTCCAGCACTCGGGAACCAGCGGGCACCAGCTCTGCACTGCCCTGCTCCCCTTCCAGCTTCTCTTTCGGAAACACCTTTTTCCTGCCTTTTTAGGCCGCCCTGCTTCCTGCACAGGAAGAAGGCCTGAGTCCGGGTGCTATTTATAACAGGGTCCCTCCTAGGCCTCCTGAGGTGAGGGGCCATGGTACACGGGTTCGGGGAGAGGGGAGGCTTGTGGCTTTCTAGGATCCCAGCCCTGAGGAGGAGGAGGAAGCTGAGACCCGAAGGAGGGGCAGAAGCACGAGGAAGTATCTTCTGACTCCCAGGCTGGTTGTCCCTCCTGGTTTGCCGGTATTTGTTGGAGGCCTCACAGTCTCCGAGGTTCTCCCAGAGCCTCAGAGGCAGAATTGGAAGTCTGCAGAAGACTGCAGAAAGCACATGTCACAGATGAGGAAAATGAGGCCTAGAGAGGAGAGATGTGAATGAAGTCACATAGAAATTGAAAGCAGGTCACACAGGAAGTTGAAAGCAGGTCCTCAGGCTAAAATCACATCACAACTACAAAGGATTACCTCTTAGTCGGGTGGTCCCTTATGAGTTGAATGTATGGCCAATAAAGATGGCTGAAGTACTAACCCCCAGCACCTCAGAACATAGCCATCTTTGAAAGGTCACTGCAGATGTCATTTATTAAGGTGAGGTTCTCCTGGAGGAAGGAAGGGGCCTGTTCTAACATGACTGGGTTCTTAAAGAAGAGGGAAAATTGGACCCAGACATACACACACAGGGAAGATGATGTGAAGACCACAGGAAGAAGACAGCCACGTGACCATGGAGACACTGGAGCTGCCCAGGAGGGCAGTCTTCCTGCCACTGGCAGGCTGTGGCATGTGACCCTCTGATTTTCTTGCTATGTAGCGAGTGTCTCCCTATGTGGCCCAGGCTGGCCTCGAACTCACAGCGATCCTCCTGCATTAGCCTTTGGAGTGCTAAGATTACAGGCCTGTGCCACCACGCCCAACTTGCTCCTCTTATTTCACATGCAGGGCCAAACTCTCCTGCCCATCAATACGAGCAGCTCAACTCAGGCCAGGGAATAGCCCCTCTCCCAATCCTCTGAACTTCTGGCTGTGGGAAGTAGAGGTGGAAGCCACAGAAATGAGAATCGGGAACAAAGACAGGGGACACTGCAGACTCCAAGATTCCACTGGGGCCCTACCAGCTCATTAACTCTTCTGACAGATAAACTAGTGTTGCTTGAGAAGGACAAATCCTAGCATGATTACAGGGATCCACTAAGAACAAACTGTGGTACCTTTATACATCAGAAATTAAAAGGAGCAAAATAGCTTGTCATGGAAGCACATACCTATCACCCCAGCTTCAGGAGGCTGAAGTAGGAGGACTGCAAATTCAAGGCCAGCCCAGGCAACTTCATAAGACCTTGCCTCAAAAATGAATAAAAAGAGGGCCAGAGAGCTTAGAGATCCCTAGGTTCAAGCTCCAGTAACATACACACACACTCACGCACGCGCACACACACATCATGTGCGCAGACATCACTGAACATGGATTTCAAAAAATATTAATTTGAGCTAAGACATCAGATATGAGATAGAATGTACAGCACGATTCCTTTCATATGAAGTTCAAGAATAAACAAAGCTAATTTCTGGTGCTACAAATCACAGCGAAATAGGGGCTGATGGAGGAGGAGCGCTGACAAATGGAACAGGAGGTAACCTTCGGCTGATGGAAATGTTCTCTGTCTGGGTTACGGTGTGCGTTACATGCGTACACACATTTGTCAGAAACACATGAAGTAGGCTGCAAGCACGGCTCAGGGCACAGCGCTTGCCTGGCACACCTGAG